TGAATGCCTGCTTATGGCCCCCACTTCCTTTTCTCTCTGGGTCTGGGGAAGCTAATGAACCTGGGTCAGGGAGATGGTTCAGTGGGTAAAAGGTGTTGCCCCGGAGGCCTGAGGACCTCAGTTTAGTTTCCCAGAACCCATCTACCAGCTGGATATAGTAAAAAGCATCTGCAACCCCAGTGCTCCTGCCTGTAGGAGACAGACACAGGAGAATGTGGAGAAGCTCTCAGACCAGCTAGCCTGTGACAGACCCATAGACTGGCCAGCCTGTGACAGACCCACAGACCAGCCAGCCTGTGACAGACCCACAGACCGGCCAGCCTGTGACAGACCCACAGACTGGCTAGCCTGTGACAGACCCACAGCAGCAAATAACTAGCATACCCTGTCTCAAGTAAGCTGGAGGGAAGGCAAGGACTGGGACCCATATAACACACACACACTCCACAGATCCACATACACACACACCACAGACACACACACACATGCACACACACATCAAACATTCACACAGATACACGGAAAGATTTCTGAGGCTGAGGATGTGGCTCAGTTAGTAGAGTGTTTGCCTAGCATACAAAAAGCCCGAGTTCAATCCTCAGCACCACGTAAACCAGGCATAAACCAGGACTCTGACTCCTGTAAGCCCAGGATTTGGGAAGGTGGAAGTGGGAGGATCACAAATTCAAGGTCATCTTTAGATAAATATCGAGTTTAAGGAAAGGGCAGCCTGGGATACTTGAAACCTACCTTAAAGGGGAACAAAGGGAAAGGAGAAAAAAGAGGAAGAGAGGGCAAGAGAAGACAAGAATAGCAGACCCAAGCAGGGTGGGATACCGATGGCTTTTCAGTCTTGTGACCTAGAGCTGTGCCCCACGCTGCGGTCAGGATCACGTGATCCTCAGGTGCAGGTACAGTGGTGAAGAGCACTTTGCTGCTTTTGCAGAAGTCTTGGGTTGGGTTCCCCAGCACCCACATGGTGACTCACAATCAATCATTCATTCCTAACTCAGTTCTGGGGAATCCAACACCCTCTTCTGACTTTTGAGGAACCCAGGCATTGTACATGATGCACATGCGCTGAGACAGGCCAGACACTCACACACGTAAAAATAACACATCTAAAAAAAAAAAAAAACCACACACCCACACACACACACAGAGTGAGAGTTTACACCAGATGCCACTATGGGGCAGTTAGTGACAGAGAGCCCCAGGAGGAAGACATATTCAACATTTGGGATTCGGAACCACAAAGCCAAAAGACCACAAAGATGACAGACCAGACAGCCCTATCATCCTAAGAGAGGAAGTCAAGCCTGGAGAAGTCGCAAGAACGGCAGCCAGACCCAGTAGTCAGGGACCCCTTGCAAATTAGCTCCCACTTCCCAAGTTCTCCAGTGTTGTTTCCCTACCCTCCGGGTCCCTGGCTACATGACCCACCTCCCAGCAGCAGCTGCTAGCTGGGGCAGCAGAAGGGAAGAAAGAAGTGGGCAGGGCGCATCAGGTCCTGGGAGAAGCCAGAGATAAGCAAAATCTGGAAGGCTTTTAAGAGGCCAGGGGAATGTGGAGGGTTGGCGCTCCAGCACTTGACCCTCCTTCCAGGGTATGGCCAAGGCTGGGGAGGCCAGAGGGCCCAAATCCAGCACAAGGTAACCTCAGCAGCCTTCCTCTAGGCTTCTGACTCCTAGAAGCTCCCAGGTGGCCCCGGGGGCGGGGGGGGGGGGCAGAGGAGCAGCCAACACCCCCCCCCTTCGTCCCAGCTGTCCCTTGGCAGGTTCTGGACGTGCCCTTCCTGTTGTGACAGCTCTATTTTCTGCACAACTGGTTCCAGCCGTGGCTCCGGTTTCAGATTGCAGCACGTGCACTCATTAAGGCTGATGGGAGTATCATGTGGGCACCAGGGAGAGCCCGCTGCTGCCAAGCCTGGCCAGGCTAATCACAGGTCAGGACATTCCTACAGTGTGCCCAAAGAGCTAACAGCCAGTGCCAGACCCTGCCTGGGACTGCCAGGACCCAGCACCCATATGGCTGCCTACACAGATAGAGCTTCACACAGAAGTAGCTGACATTTCCTTAACAAAGCCCCACAAAAATGAGAATGAATCCAGCCAGCCCTGACCTGGCCTGAAAAAGCCCCTTATAACCATCGCTAAACTTGACTGAAGTCTCCTAACCCAGCACAAGATCCCAAATGATGTTTTGAGAGTGGTTTGTTCCTTGAGGGTATATATCACTTCACTCACGACCAGTTTGGCATTGCACCTAGGAATTCCAAGATTGGAGAATCAGTGACAGCTGTGGCCTCTGGCAAGGGAAGAAAGGCACTGATAAGGGAACCATCCTCAGAGGAAGCACAGGCACGGCTGGGACAAGCATCCTCCGAGCCATAGAGAAACAGGTGTTTTTTTTTTTAATCACTGAACATCTTAAAAACTGATTTATAGGGCTGGAGTGATGGCTCAGAGGTTAAGAGCAGTGACTGTTCTTCCAGAGGTCCTGAGTTCAGTTCCCAGCAAACACATGGTGGCTCACAACCATCTGTAATGGGATCTGGTGCCCTCTTCTGGCCCGCAGGCAGAATGCTGCATATATGATAAATAAATCTTTTTTTTTAAACCGACTTATAGATGGATGTGGTGGTGTACGCCTTTAATCTCAGCACTTCGGAGGCAGAGACAGGTAAATCTCTGTGAGTCTGAGTCCATACCCTCTCATTAATTTCTCTGTAAACCTAAAAACACCCTTTTTAAATGGTCCATTAAGGTGCTGGAGTTAAGAGTTAAGGCTTGGCAGTTAAGAGCATTTATTGCTCTTGTAGAGGACCAGAGTTTGGTTCCCAGTACCCACGTCTGGCAGCTCACAGCCACCTGTGACTCCAGACCCAGGAACACTCACATGCATATACTACCTATAATTAAGGGTAAAATAAATCATTTTTAATTTTCATTGTTGGTTTCTTCTTCTCTTCTTCTTCTTCTTCTTCTTCTTCTTCTTCTTCTTCTTCTTCTTCTTCTTCTTCTTCTTCTTCTTCTTCTTCTTCTTCTTCTTCTGATGGGGTCTTTCTACAAAGTCCTGACTGTACTGAATTCACTTGTGGAGACCAGACTGGCCTCCACCTCACGGAGATCTGCTGGCAGCATAGCTCAGTATAGTGCTTGCCTTACCCTCACAAAGCCTTCGATTTTCAACATCTCATAAAAATGAGCATGTTAGCAGACATCTCCAATCCTAGCACTCAGGATGGGGAGGCAGGAGGAACAATTTCAAGTCACGCTTGGTTATGCAACAAGCTCAAGCTCCCACCCCACCCCAGGCTACATGAGACCCTGTCTCTGACGGTCTCTGAGGCTGTAGAGGGGGAAGACAGAGGTGATTTCCCACAGGCCTGCATTACTTTCCTCTTATCTTCCTTCTACCCCTATTCTCCTGACACTTAGATCTTAGATCAGCGGCATAGCTGTGACAAATGCCTGGCCAATGCTAGGTGATCACTATCGACTAAAGTGCACAGCGCACATTGGGGTTTGTCGTTTGTGTTGTTTTCCATGGAGCTTGACCAGTTCATGAGTTCTTCTTCCCTTATCCCACTGAGTTCTTCCACTACCCTAAAAAATCAGTACTCTGTGCTCACAACTATAATCCCAGCACTGGGGAGACAGACGCAGGAGGATCGTGAGTTCCAGGATAGCCTGGGCTACCTAGTAAGAACTTTTTCAAAATTTTAAAGTAAAATTGAGAACTAAAACTCAGGCATGCGGTGATGCATGCCTCTTATCCTAACACTTGGGAGATAAAGGCAGGAAACCTAGGAGTTCAAAGTCATTCTTACCCACATAATAAATCCAAAACTACCTTGAGCTATGTAAGATCCGATCTCAAAAAAAGAAAGAAAGAAGGGGGCTGGAGAGATGGCTCAGTGGTTAAGAGCATTGCCTGTTCTTCCAAAGGTCCTGAGTTCAATTCCCGGCAACCACATGGTGGCTCACAACCATCTGCAATGAGGTCTGGTGCCCTCTTCTGGCCTGCAGACATACACACAGACAGAATATTGTATGCATAATAAATAAATATTAAAAAAAATTAAAAAAAAAGAAAGAAAGAAGGAAAGCAAAAACAAAACAAACAAAAAATACTCAAAAAAAACCAAAAACCCTAAGATGGGCTGGTGAGATGGCTCAGTTGGTAACAGTTACTGTGTGTGCTGGCTAACTTAATATCAGTTTGACACATTCTAAAAATCACGAGAGGAGGGAACCTCAATTCAGAAAGTGCCTCCAGAATATGCAAGCTTGTAGAGTATTTTCTATTTATTTATTTAATTAATTTATTTATTTATTTTGTATTCTGTCTGTGTGTATGCCTGCAGGCCAGAAGAGGGCACCAGACCCCATTATAGATGGTTGTGAGCCACCATGTGGTTGTTGGGAATTGAACTCAGGACCTTTGGAAGAGGAGGCAATGCTCTTAACCGCTGAGCCACCTCTCCAGCCCCCGTAGAGCATTTTCTTAATTAATGATTGACCTGGGGGAGCTCAGTTCATTGCGGGTGGTGCCATCCCTGGGCTGGTGGTCCTGGGTTCTATAAGAAAGCAGACTGAGCAAGCCATGGTGAACAAGCAGCACCCGTCCATGGCTTCTGCATCAGTTCCTGCCTCCAGGTTTCTGCCCAGCTTAAGTAAGTTCCTGTCCTGACTTCCTTCACGGATGAACAATGATGTGGATGTGTAAGGCAAATAAACCCTTTCCACCCCAACTTCCTTTTGGTCATGGTGTTTCATCACAGCAACAGAAACCCCAAGACACTGTGCAAGCCTTGACATCCTGACTTCAATTTCAAGAAGACACAGAGGAAGGAGAACTAACATCGAAAACTGCCCTCTGGCCACACACTCACGAGCCCCCCCCCCCCCCTACACACGGAATAAATAATGTAATTTAAAAAATAATAAAAACAAAATTTAAAACTCTTCAAACTTGAGTAGGGAAAAACGGATGGTTTATCTGGGAGGAGGGAAAGATGACAGAAAGACAAGTCTGGCCTGGACACCGGCATGCCAGGGGCTTGCAAGGTCTGGAACCACAAGGATGGGTAGGGACAAAGGCAATGGTACTTTCACAGAAGATGGCGGAAAGCCTCGGCAGCAAGGTGTGGTTTTAATTGGGCCTTAGGGCAGAGCAGGATCCTGTAGGGGGAAAGGAAAAACAGCCAGGAAGAGGATCAGTGTGGGCTGTGACCCTGAGGCAGGGCGGCAAGGGCTGCTGGGGACCTGGATGGGGAGAGAAAGGAATGTTACAAGAGCTGGCTGTATCTGCCACCGGGAAGCCACTCCAGTCCAAGTGACCAGCCAGGCCAGGTGTGGGCTGATGCTAAGCCAGGGCAGCTGCTGGGCAAACATCTCCACTTGTCTCCCTGCTTCCTGCAGCCCTCAAAGCCTTTCTGTTTGAACTCCCTTGCTGGCGAGACAGGAGATACAGCTCCCTCCCTGCCGGATGTGGGTATTTGGTGTCACCATGACAGACACACCCCCTAGCTTTATGGCTATGACTCAGCCCTCACCCAGCCCAGTGCTCTCCCAGCACAGGGCAACACCCTCTCTTGGCTCCGCCATACTGACTGTTTGTAAGCCAAGAGCCGTGGGCAGGGTCTAGAAACTGCCTGCCCCGGGGACAACGGGAAGGGAAGGGAGAGGACAGCTCCTACCAGCAGGTGTGTCGTTTGCTCTGCTAAGAACAGCAGCAAGGCAACAAGCCCTGAACTGGCCCAAGCATCCAAGTGCAGCCAGCGATTCTGCCTGAGCAGCAGGCAGGGATACCTGTCACTCTCATGTCGCTGGCTTTCCCCAAGGAAACAGGCTCAGAGAATCTAAATTGGCATGGGGGTCACACAGCAAGAAGGGTGGTAGAGAGTCCTTCAGGATCTCTTTAATGTCAGGGTCCAGGCTTTGAAGTTATATTCAATAAATGTCTATTACTTCTTGTTGGCAAATGGGGGAAAAGGCCCAGCCCAAGGGTGGGTGGAGCCACCCCTGGGCTGGTGGTTTTGGGTTTGATAAGAAAGAAGGCTGAGCAAGTCACGAGGAGCAATCCAGGAAGCAGCATCCCCTCCCATGACCTCCGCATCACCTCCTGCCTCCAGGTTCCTGCCATGTTTGATTGAGTTCCTGGCTTGACTTCCCTGCATGGGAATGGAGTAACCAAAGAAGGCACTGCTGGTCAGGATGGGGACCAGGGAGGTACTGGGCAGCTAGGGCTCTAGCCACAGGCTCAGCAGCCTTCCTTCTAGAATGGACTAAGATTCAGCAGCTCAGCCCTTGAGATCGCGGAGCAGTTTCAGGCACTGTGGAGCACACACCCTTTCCAGACAGGGAGGACTCCCCTGTGCCCAGCAGTCAGCCTAGACAACTGCACACAGTTGTCACACCTGAGCCCTCAGCAGCAGGCTAGGTCTCTTCCCTACCCTCCTCCCTCTGGGCTGTGCCTTTCTCACCTGTTCCCTTGCAGCAAAGACCTGGCTGCTTGTCCACAGCTGGGCCAAGTAGGGAATGACCCTTGCGTCATGGTGGACAAAATGAAATATAAACAAAACTGAAAAACAAGCCCCAGTGTTCTGCTTGCTTGGGAAGAACTCCTATAAGCCCAGATTCCCATCGACTGTTTTGTTCAAATTTGCTATATAGTTAAGGATGAATGACTTTGAACTTTCTGTCTTCACCTCTGAGGGGCTGGGATCACAGGCATGCGCCAGCCACCAAGCTCAGCCTAGACAGCCTTTCAATTCACTCTGAAAGTACTGATTTCATCTTAATTAGAAGATTTGGGAACTGATTTCCTCGCCATTAGGTCGCCACCTTGAAACAGTACGATTTTGTAACCCAGAGCAAATGACCTCTCCACAGGAAGTCCCTTTGTGAAAGTCATTTCTTTGAAGGTGCCAACCCCTTTCCCACGCCTGCCCTCTGCTGGCAGCTGAGGACTGCTCCCTTCTGTCTTCCACATCCGCAATCTCCTGGGGCGGAACTTTCTCCTCATACCCTCGGCTTCCCAGCTGCCTTCACTAAGGGGCATTCAGGACCACCACCCACACCCTCACTCACCTTTCTAAGGACATCAACCTTACCACTCTTGCTCCTCAAAAACATTCCATGGCTGCCGAGTGCCTACAGAAAGGGTTCAAATTCTTTAGTCCACATCTAGCGTCTTTCCTAATCTGTCCCCCTTGTCTTTGTGAAGCCATCTAGTTCTCCCCCCCCCCCCGCTCTTTCTGTCCATTCGCTGTTATGCAGGGCACAGCCTGAAAAACCAGCTACATCCAGAAGTCACCCCAGATAGCCCACTTCACTCCTGCTGCTCCGACCCGGAATCTGCCCTGTTTTGTCCACACGTATCTGGCCACCCTAGGAAGATGTGCACCAGGGTCTTGAAAGCTTGAGAAAAAGAAAAAAAAGTAACTGGGGCCGAGGACTGAACTCATTCAGTATAGTACTTGCCATGCAAGCATATGACCTGAGTTTGAACCACTGAACTCACATGAAAAAATTGACAGCTCTCAGGAGGCAGAGGCAGGCAGGTCTCTGTGAGTTCGAAGCCAGCCTGGTCTGTAGAGTGAGTTCTAGGATAGCTAGGGCTCTTATACAGAGAAACCCATGTCTCAGAAAGAAAGAAAGAAAGAAAGAAAGAAAGAAAGAAAGAAAGAAAGAAAGAAAGAAAGAAAGAAAGAAAGAAAGAAAGAAAGAAAGAAAGAAAAGGAAAAAAGAAAAGGAAAAGAAAAATCTATCCTCTGTCTGTCGGTTTATCTCCCTAGTGCTGGGTGTGTGACTTCCGAGTGCTTGGATCACCCTCCTGTGAGTTCCCTTTTAGNGAAAGAAAGAAAGAAAGAAAGAAAGAAAGAAAGAAAGAAAGAAAGAAAGAAAGAAAGAGGGCTACAGAGATGGCTCAGAGGTTAAGAGCATTGCCTGCTCTTCCAAAGGTCCTGAGTTCAATTCCCAGCAACCACATGGTGGCTCATAACCATCTGTAATGAGGTCTGGCGCCCTCTTCTGGCCTTCAGGCATACATATAGACAGAATATTGTATACATAATAAATAAATATTTAAAAGAAAGAGAGAGAGAGAGACGGGGGGGGGGAGAGGAATTGAAAGTAGGGCATGGTGATGTGTGCTTATCACCCCAATTCTGGGAGGGTGGAGACAGGCAGATCCCTGGGGCTTGCTGGTCAGCCAGCCTAGCCTTAACAGTGAGCCCCAGGTCCCAGTGAGAGCCCCTGTCTCAAACAAAAACCAGTTGGAACTGGCGAGATGGCGTAGCAAGCAAAAATTGCTGCCAAAGCCTGATAATCTGAGTTCAGCTTGCTGGTTGGGGGAGATGACTGACTTCGGAAGCCAGTCCCCTGACCGCCATATGAGCCACTTGGCATGAGCGTGCCCACACATACACACAGAAAATAAAACGAATTAAAACAGCAAAGCTAAGACAGACGACTTCTGAGGAAGGACCACCTGAGGTTGTCCTCTGGACACACATACAAACAGGTGCATACACTTCAACACCTTTTGTTTTGTTTGTAATTTTTCAAGATAGGGTTTCTCTGTATAGCCCTGGCTATCGTAGAACTAACTCTGTAGCCCAAGCTGACTTTTAACTCACAGAGATCCACCTGCCTCTGCCTTATGGGTGCCGGGATTAAAGGCATTTGCCACCGCTACCAGGACTCAGGCTGGTCTCGAACTCACAGAGATCCGCCTGCCTCTGCCTCCCGAGTGCTGGGATTAAAGGCGTGCGCCACCACGGCCCGGCTTCCAGCACTTTTTAACTTGTCTCTTCATGTGAAGCAGGAGAGCATAGGCTAGCTTCTATTTGGCAGATGAGGAAGCAAGCTGCAAGAGGCTTAGTAAGTAGTTTGCAGTCACATGGCAAAGCAGGAGGAAACTGCAGATCTGTAGACGCCTGCTCCTGCCCTTGAGCCATTAGCACTAAAATCTTCCCCAGGCATCTTTCAGTTTCCAAACTCATACCTGGTCCCTACCTCACTGTGGAGGGTGGCACAGTGCCCAGGGCTGCCTTGAGATCCCATCCCCCACTGTTCATGCACCCATCCCGGTCCCTGAAGCTTCAGACTGGAGGAATCTGTCTACTTGCAGGCTAAGATAAGACAGGGCTTCTGCCAACCTGGGGAGGGATTCAACCTCTCCTGAAACTCAGCAGCATCCAAACCCCACATTCCCAGGTTGAACCAATAAAGGTTCTTGTTTTCTCCTATTGTCCCTAAGATACCACAGGGCAGTAGGCTCATGACTGACAGCTGTCAGAAGGCGCAGACTGAAATCAGGGTGTCTCAGTACAAGGAGGGACCCACTGTAGGTTCAGAGTAGTCATTGTAAAGCTTGGAGAAAGTATAAAGTCAGGGTTCTGCTCCTGAGTGGTGCTGTGGGTGGCAGGCAGTTCGGATAGACTGTTACGACCTTGTCCACAGGGCAGGAGCCGAGAAAAGAGGCTGGGGACTGATTGGTAAGCCAGCTGTGGTCCCTGTTAGCCTAGCTGGGGTGCAGTGGGCATCCAAGGCTTGGACGGTGGTCACACTGTTACCTGCTTTAGCATTATAGGATTAGGGGCTGGAAATGTGACTTAGCAATGGATAGTCTTCCATAGGACGCAGGTCCAGTTTCCAGCACCTATATGATGGTTCCCAATGATCTATAACTCTGGTCCCAGGGAATCCAATGCCCTCTTCTGGCTTGCACAGGTAATGCATGAGCCTGGCGCACATATATGCACGCAAGTCACCCATACACATAAAAATACACATTTTTCAAAATTACAAAAATGAAAGAAGAATCACTGGATGGTGGAGGGGGTGGTCTTTGTGTGGTAACCAACGTCCCAGGGCCACCTTGTTCAACAGGACAACGACCAAGCTAGGAGGGCCAGGATGACTCTTGGCTCTCAGTGCTTTCTTCTTGAGAACAATGTCCCTTTAATCCCAGCAGAGGCAGATGAATCTCTGTGAATTCAAGACCAGCCTGGTCGACAGAGGTATTTCTAGGACAGCCAGGACACAGAGAACCCCTGGAGGTGGGGGAAGGGAGGGAGGGGAGAAGAGCAGAATGTGTCAAGGCCAGGAGCCTCCCACCCGTGCTTTCTCGCAGCCCATGGTGCCCCCTCCCCGCCCCCCGCCCCAGTGGGCCCTCTTGGTTTTTCCTTCAACTCACCAGCTGACATTGTTACGGCAGTTCCAGGCAGCGAGGGCCTGGAGTCTAGAACAAAGGTTGCACAGGACAGCTACAGACTAGGACAGGGGACAGAAGGGACAACGTGGTAAAAATCAAGGCAACTTAGTTCCTGGGTAGAATTCAGAGGTAAGGAGAGATAGAGAGGGATCCCGTGCCTTGCACCTGGAGCAAGGTGCCCAGCAGGCTGAGCAGCCTAGTAACATGACCTGCCAGAATGGAAACGGGCCAAGAGGTTTTGGTTGAGATGAGTCAGCTAACAACTTGTTTTCAGGCTGCCAAGGCCATAACCACAGCAGCAGGAGGGGTGCCCTCAGGGAAGAAAGATCCTGCCATTCCTACCCACGCCCTCTATCCCCTTGGAGGGCTCAGTGTCCCCAACCTCTGCATGAGTGCCAGCCACCAGGTGTCCCAGAAATAAGGGCCTGCCTGTTCAGAAGGGAAGGGTGGGGCTGGAGGGAGTGGGAGAGATGGGGCATGGAGAGAGAGGAATGGGGACAGGGTAGCAGAAGGGACAGCATTAGGGTGATAAAAATGAAGAAAACTTGGTTCCTGGATGGAGTTCAGAGGTGTGCATGTGTGTGTGTGCACGTGCATGTGTGCATGCCTGTATGTGTGTGTGCGTGAGTGTATAAGAGAGGGGTGCATTGAGATCCCAGAAACCCAAGGCAAGAGGCACATGGACCAGGGAACCAGCTGCTGAGAGAGACAGGGCAGGGACACAAAGCATAAGCCATCAGATTTGGACGTAAAAATTCGGCCTGGGAAAGATCAACAGTGTGCTGCAGGTGACTTCAGACACAGAACCAGAGGCAGGGGAACTAAGCTTGAGGACATGTGGACGGACCAAATCAGGCATGTCCACAGTCACTAATCAGCGACTGACTCAGGGAGAGTCTCTGGAACCACCTCTCTCCTTCTGAGGAACCAATGCCTACAAACATGGGGGACCTAAAAACCCAGGAATATACTTGGATGGTTCAGGAGGTCTGAGGCCCATAACCCGGTGTTTACAGGGCACTGTTCCCTCCAAACCTCTCTTTGTTTCTAGGCAACAGCAGCTCCAGCATCCCTTGGCTCATGGCAGCCTCACTTAAGGTTCTGCCTGTCTTTGCTTAGCCTTCTCCATGTGTGGTGTCCTCTCCTGATCAGTCAGCAGGTTTTGAGCTTGTTACATCTGTAAAGTCTCCATGCTGAAGACATGAGGGTTTTTGCTGTTGCTTTCGTTGTTGCTTTTGTTGTTGTTGTTTTTAGTGGGAAAGGGTGTCCTGAAGGCTGTACCTTGCAGAAACAGACTCAGGGGCCAGGTTCAAGATATTTTGCATGGCACTGGGGACTCCATGCCACAACAACAGTAAATACAATGAGAAAGCTAAAAAGAGAGCTGGAGAGATGGACTGTGGTTAAGAGCACTGCTGCTCTTCCAGAGGTCCTGGGGTCGATCCTCAGCACTCACATCAGGTGGTCCCCACCTGCCTGTAACTCCAGTTCCAGGGGAACCCATCACCTCTGACCTCTGTGGTCATGTGTACATACCCCCATACACACAATTAAAAATAATATGAATAAGCCAGGCAGTAGTGGCGCACACCTTTAGTACCTGCACTCAGAGGCAGAGGCAGGCAAATTTCTGAGTTCGAGGCCAGCCTGGTCTACAGAGCTAGTTTCAGGACAGCCAGGGCTACACAGAGAAACCCTGTCTCAAAAAAAAAAAAACAAAAAAAAAACAAAGGCAGGGTGTGGGGGCGGGGGAGGGGAGAATATAGCTGCCATTACCCTTGGGGCCTCCGTCCTGGACAGGCTTCCAGTGTCCCTATGCAGCTGGGTGACTGAAGAGATGGAAAGGCCCTGGTGACCCTTGATACCTAGCTCTGTGTGACAGATAGGCCATGACTAGATCTCCTCCCTCCTGCACCCAAGCTGGTGCAGTGGCAGGGCTGCACAGCCATACGGTTGCTGTGCTGGACCCCTTGATGCCCACCTGGGCAAGAGCTTCACTCTGACCCCAGAAATGAACACCGTTCCGACTTCACTGTCCCATAAAAAGCTCTCAGAGGGCAACCTTGTGGGCTGGTTCTCTCCTGCCTTTCCATGGGTTCTAGGGATTGAACCCGGGTTGCCAGGCTTACACGAGTGCTTTTACCTGCTGAACCTCACCAGTGCCTAAAAATTTTTTTTCTTTAGATTATTTTTGAGACAAGGTCTCTCTTTGTAGCCTTGGCTCCCCTAGAATCCACCAAGTAGACCAGGCTGGCCTCAAGTTCACAGAGATCCGCCTGCTTTTGCCTCCTAAGTGCTGGGAAATAAAGGTGTGCCACGATGCCTGGAATTTTTAATTGTTTTAGGTTTATTTTATGTGTACAAGTGTTTTGCTTGGATGTGTGCATGTGTGCCACATGTGTATCTGATGCCTGTGGCACTCAGAAGATGGTGTGAGAGCCCCCGAAACTGGAGTGGCAGACAGTTGTGAATTACTGTGTGGTTGCTGGGAACTGAACCTGGGTCCTCTGGAAGGCTGAGTACTCTTACCTGTTGAGCCATCTCTCCAGCCTTACCAGCCCTTTAAAACAGTTTTCTTTTCTTTTTATTTTTCTTAACTCACAAGGCATTTTTATATAAGAAAAATCACCCAAGCATTGAGACTCTCTCACCTGTAATCCTAACACCTGGGAGGCTGAGGCAGGAGGATTGCTGTGAGTTTAAAATCAGCCTGGACTACAGTGTAAAACTTTCTCAAACTCCACTACCCTGCCCCTCAAAAAGTGGTAAAGAAATGAGAAAAAAAACAAATTAATTAAACCTGGTGTGGCAGGCAGGGCAAACCTTGGCTAGGTGCAGGGTATGCTTCAGACTCAGGGGCTGGCTCCTGCTAACAGCTCCAGGTACCTTGGCAGGGGACAAAAGAAAGACTGCCTTTCTAAGGGTAAAAAAAACGAGGACTCTTTTTTTTTTTTTTTTTCTTGTAAGCCCTTAAATTGGTTTTCCTTTATACTCTGGGTTAGGTAATGCTTTATTCCATAAAATAGAATGTGCTCTTGGAGAATGCTGTTTTTAACTTCAAAGCATTGCAGATCCAGCTGAGGTTGGCAGGACCCATACAAGAAGCAGCCGCTGCTACCTCACAGCAGGCCCTAGGAGGTCGGGACACTCAGTAGGTCCGGTTCACGGTTCACGTTAAGTAACACAATGAATACCTGGGTGCTAGGCTAAGGGTAGAATGTTCAGGATCTCAACGGCAGGGCATGTCAGGTCTACAGCAGACCCAGCTGGCACTCCCTACACCCTCTCCCCTTCCCTCCCCCCCCCCCCAGCATGGCCTGACACAGAGGTGATAGGTCACTCAGAGGGAGGGTGCTGCTTTGTTGGAGAAGGATGGGAAGATGGCCCATAACCCAGGCAGAGAAGAGGCGGGTAAGTAGGAGGTTGGTGACACTGTGCAGGGAGGACAACGAGGCAGGAGGAGCCTGACCAGAAAACCAAGGACAGCGGCAGAGCCACATAGTAGAAAAAGCCTGTTGGACAAGTGTAGTCCCAAGACAAATGGTTACTCTAGCAGAGACTTGGGCATCAGAGAAGAAGGGAGGCAGAGTGGGGGGAGGCTATCTCAGGGCCTGGGGGAGAGGACAGCTCAAGCACCTTGCCGACGGGAAGCAGCCCCTGCGGGAAGCAGGTAGACAGGCTAGCTCTGGGGCAGTTCACACGTATCAGGTCAGGGACATAACTAGACTCTGTTGTTCAGGTTTGGGATTCACCCAGCATGAGGGGAAAGTAACAGGCCTGTCATCCAGGACAGTCCCAGAAGGGGTGAGTGCCTGAACTGTGGGCTGGGTGACAAGCAGTCCTGTTTCCCATCGCTTGGTTCCTCAAGGCCTGCTCTGATACCAACACTTCCTCCTGGTGTGTGTGTTCTGGAAATGTGCAGAGGAAACATCTGCCCCAGGATGTGCTATCACCATGGCAACAGTCAATCTCACACAAATCTGTTTGGCAGGGCTTCACTTACACCTAGCAACCCAGTCATCAACAAACCGCCTATCACATGTTCAAAACAGCTGCGCACCCTCAGTCCTTCAGAGTGGGTCAGCTTGCCTGGCCAGGAACTCCCCCACTCCAGACCGCCTGAGAAGCAGGACCGTAAGAACCAAGCAGGCACACAACTGGAGAAGCTAAGCGTGAGTCGTCTCATCACCAGGAGCAGGGCAGAGGTGGAACCATGAGCCTTGCAACTCTTGGAGCCAAACCATGAGGGAAATGAACCAGATATAGCCTGTGGCCCTTGTTGCTTTTTGAGAAAAGACATCTAACCTCCATTCTGCGGTTGTGGAGTCTGAGACAGAGTCTAGCTATGTAGTTCAGGCTGGCCTCAAACTTGCTATGTAGCCCAGGCTGACTCTGAATGCATGGTGATTATCCTCCCCTAACCTCCCCAGTGTAGGAGTATAGCCATGTGTCACTGGATGAAGACGACATGGCTGCTCCAAGGTATGGTTGATGAGTTGGCCTCAAACTCACAGAGATCGACCTGTCTCTGGCTCCCGAGTGCTGGGATTAAAGGCGTGCACCACTACCGCCTGGCCGGACTGAAGAGGTTTAAGGTAGGGGGCAGGGTGAGAAGCTGAGAGGAGCCACAGGTACTGAGCGGGCCTGGCAGCCAGTGTGCCTTTGGTACGCGACCAGGCACCCGTTAGTCTTTTGTCCTGAGTTTCTTTGGGACCCGGCAGTCACCACACCAGGTTCTCTTGTTTTATATTGTAAAAAACACAAATCCCCACAGGACCACACAGAAAGCAGCTAAGAAACAGAGCCAGGCTCTAAGCTCAGTTCTGGGTCCCATCACCAGCACACAGCACTGCCCCTATGCGGCACAGGGCACACAGAGTGTGACCCAGGAAGCCACATGGAAAAATCCCGTACCCCAACTGCAGCCTTTTCAGATTCTGGCTTAACGCCTGCTATATGACTGAGCCTCTCACCTTACATGGCCCCAAACACACTGAAGACAGCTTTTCCTTTATTAGCAATGACACATTAAAAACATGCATACACGCGTAGGGAGACATAGGCACACATGATATGACACCCATTGTCTAACACAACTGAGTATGGGAGTCTTTTTAAAATAAATTCCAGGTAGTGGGGAACATACACACCAGGCCACAGGTATCAGATGTGACTATGAAAAACAGGCTGTGTTGCCGGGTGGTGGTGACACACAGCTTTAATCCCAGCACTCGGGAGGCAGAGGCAGGTGGAACTCCGAGCTCGAGGCCAGCCTGGTCTACTGAGCGAGCTCCAGGACAACCAGGGCTACATAGAGAAAACCTGCCTCGACAACCAGACCAAACCCCACTTGCAAGCAGGGCTTATGTATGTGACTGCTGGTCCTCTCTGCCCATACGACTCCCTGGTTTCCAGGGGACTCCTTGCAATCTGCTGCCAGCAGCCAGCCATGCTGACAAAACCAGATGCCTGAGCCACACAACCTCCCCTCTGGATCTGTCTGTGCTCACCTGCTTCACTGTGCCTTGTCTCCAAACTGAAGGGACAGCAGCAGGAGGCCTGTACAGATAAACCTCTGTCTGCCCCCCAACGCAGCGGCAGGAGTGAGGCGGAAGGGCTGATTAAGCTTTTTCACGGCAGCATTGCTCCACGAAACATGTCGCATTTAACCTACAGAAAAATGTTTAACCTTCTTTAAAGTGAAAAGTTTAATGAATGGGAACCTTTTAAGAAGCTGCATCAGGGAGCTGGAGAGATGGCTCGGACTTACGTGTACTTGTTGCTCTTGCAGAGGACCCAAGTTTGGTTCCCAGATTGTACTTTGGTTGGCCTGTAACTCCAACTCTGGGGAGTCTGGTGCCCTCTTCTGTTTCCCTTCGGTGCTACACACACACACACACACACATACACACACAAATAAAGCCAGATATGGTGACATACATCTTTAATCGCAGCACGTGGGGTCAGAGGCAGGTGGCTCTCTGAGAGTCCCAAGCCAGCCTGGTCTACGCAGTGAGTTCCAGGTCAGCCAGGGCTATCTATCTCAAAAAATAAAAATAATAAAATAAATCTTTAAAAAGAGGATGTTCCGCCACACAGTGACGCTGTCGTTTTCGTGAGCGCGTGTGAACCCTGAAGACATGGACTCCTCCACCTTGCAGGCTCTTTATTACAAGGGTGCAGGAAAGCACGCTAGAAAAAAGGAAATTCCGATGTGTTGAGCAGGGTCCAGGTGGTGCAACTGCAGGAAGGCTGGGGGTCTTTCTTCCCACGGCTGGTCACTTCCAGGTTGTGAGGACACTTCTCCCCGAGTCTCTCGAACGGCCTGCTCTGGGCCCCACTGGCTGCCCTGAGCGGCTTCTGAGTTCTCTGTCGGCTCCATCACCCTGGGCCAGCTCCTCATCGTACCTGCAACAGATCACTGGAGAATCACACGGAGTCTTGTTCAGGGGTAGTGACACAGAGTGGCCCCTGGGCTGCTGCAGAACAAACATATTCCTGGAAAGAGCCAACGAGGCTCAGATCCTCCACTGAATACAACACAAGACCACAGAGCCTGTGAGAGAAACCCAGTTAGCTGCCATTGTGGACAGTCTGCCTGTCCTAGGCAGATGACTTTCTAACAGGCATCCGGGCAGAACACGGCACTAACCTCAGAGGATCTGTGAATGAGAAACGAGTCAGCCCAGGGTGGGGAGAGAGGGAGCCCCTGCATGCAGTCACTCCACACACCCTGTGGCGTAGGGCCTGATCCCACTTCAGACAGGAACCTGTGTCAGCTCAGCAGACTGCCAGGAAGGGCTGGGCTGGGCCTCCCCCATCATGATGTCACTGTCCTGACACTGTCCTCCCATGGCTTGTGTTCCAATTGATGTGTGTACCTCGGCTCTGTGCAGTGCTGAGGAACAGCCTGGACATCATGTCTTAAGAACCGGATATAGGTTTGGTGTCTGTTAGCAGGACTCCTTCCTTGGGGCTCCTGAGAGGGGTGAACATGCTACCCAGAAGAGACTGCCTCTCCTCACCATGACTTCCTACCACCTTCTGGCTCCAAATTCAGATGTGGCAGGGGGAGGGTTAACACTGGGCCTGATTCCTAATCCAAGGCTTCGCTCTGCAGTTGAGCTGTAAGAAAAACACTTTGGGACACATAAAAAAATTTAAACTGCAGTTTATTTACTTATTGGGGAGGGCTTTATTTGTTACATGGCGGTCAGAGAACAGCTTGCAGGCACTGGTTCTGTCCTACCATGAGGGTCCTGGGAATAGAACTTAGGCCATCGGATTCGGTGGCAAACACCTTTATTTGCTGAGCCATCGTGTTGGCACTTAAATTTTTTTTTAATATTTATTTATTATGTATACAATATTCTGTCTGTGTGTATGCCTGCAGGCCAGAAGAGGGCATTACAGATGGTCATGAGCCACCATGTGGTTGCTGGGAATTGAACTCAGGACCTTTGGAAGAGCAGGCAATGCTCTTAACCTCTGAGCCATCTCTCCAGCCCTTAAATTTTTTTATTACATTGGCTGATGATTGATTGATTGAGGGCATACGTGTGCCAAGATATAGAGGTCAGGGGAAAGTCTGTGGAAAACAGATCTGTCCTTCTACCATGTAGGCTCCAGGGATCAAACTTAGGCTGTCAAACTTGGCAGCAAATGCCTTTGCCTGCTCTGGTGGTTTGAATGAAAATGGCCCCTAGAGGCTCATAGGGAGTGGCACTCTTAGGAGGTGTGGCCTTTTTGGAGGAAGTGTGTCATTGGGGGTGGCTTTGAGATTTTGAGTGCTCAAGTCAGGCCTAGTGTCCCATTCTCTTCCTGTGGTCTGCCAATCTGGAGGTAGAACTCTCAGCTACTGTTCCAGCACCATGTCTGCCTGCATGCTGTCATGGCAATGGACTAGACTAAACCCCTGAACTGTAAGCCAGCCCCAGTTAAATGCTGTCCTTTCTAAGAGTTGTCATGTCATGGTGTCTCTTCACAGCATAGAAGACCAAACTAAGATACCTGCGAAGCCATCTTTCTGGTCCTCTGGTCTTTTAGGTCTTACTAGGTAGCCCCGGCTGTCATAGAACTTGCTGTGTAGACCAAGCTGGGGGCGGGGGGGGGGGGGGAATCTCTGTGAGTTCAAGGCCAGTCTGGTCTACAGAGTGAGTTCCAAGACAGGCTCCAAAAATAGACAGAGATATTCTGTCTTGAAAAAACAAACAAACAAAACAAAACAAAAAGATAGAAACCTTAGAAAGACTTACTATTGATAAGATGCAAGCCTCAGAAAGACTTATTAATGATAAGAATTTGACTAATAAGATACAAGCCTTAGACTTACTAATGATAATCTGATTGATAAGATAAAAGCCTTAGAAAGACCTACCAATTAAAATAAGACAAATAATCAGACACAGACAGAAGAACTTAGAGCAGAGCCCACCACACCATTGCATTATGAAATTGAAGAAGAATGAACCTAGGTTATTAGAAAACCAACTTAGTTTATCCAGTTATAAGAATGACCACCAGATGATAGGAATCTCCAAGGCTATGCAGATGTTGATTGGAATCCTGTAGAGATTTTAGATTTGAAGACATTTAAAGAAGTAGTCAATGACATCTATTAAAGAACCTCCATATAGAGTTTGCATTCAATGTGGCAAAGCTAGTCACGGGGCAAGAAACTGCCCTTGTCTAGACTGATGACAGTATGCGTCCAAATTGGACAAGAAGTACACAAAAGAAGGCAACTGCCAAACTTTGCCAAGACAAGTTAGGATAGTACTTCAAAATTCCTGCTTCAAAGAAGTCTGGAAGATATTCTAGGCCCATAGGTCAAAGATGGATGCCCTTATGTTTCAGTGGAAACTTGGGGTGGCAGTCCAGGTATCCAGACGCCTCTGTTGTTTCTTAGTTTTAGAAGTTGCTTGCTCTGCACTGCCATTTTAATTAGGTAATATTATATCCTTCTTGGGTCTCTGATAGGGTTAAAGGTAGATTTTTTTTTTTTTTGGTGGTATTGTTTTTTGAGATGGGTTTTTCTGTGTAACAGCCCTGGCTGTTCTGGAAGTTCTTCTGTAGACCAGGCTAACCTTGAACTCACAGAGATTCACCTGCTTCTGCCTCACAAGTACTATACTACCACCACCTGACAAAGATAATTATATTAGATAATTATAGTTAACAGTCTTCTATAGATTTGCTAAAAAGTAAATCAGGTACAAAACTTTAGATTCAACAAAACAGGATAGATAATAGAGTTTTTTCTTTGAATTTTCCAAATACTAATGGACTGGACATTGTGAATATATATATAAAATTACCACTCAGCTAGTGATTCTTTTCTATCTCTGTTCCTCCTACTTAACATTTTTCTAATCCTCATGCCCTACCCTGGTAAGTGGTATCCTTGTTGAAGCATGATCCCCGACAGCACCTCATTCTCAGGAAGCTACACAGGTGGAGATAGGGTACAAGCCCCATACCATGTGCACCCTGCCCCTAGCACCTCAGCAGCTTGTACAGGGGCAAGGCAGCAGGGCTCAGACCTGGCATGAGGTGGATGCTTCGTAAGTATTGGCTTGCAGGACAGACCCAAACTATTGTTCTGTCACCCCTCACAGCAACAACAAACAGACACACTGCCTAAGGATAGTGAGCCCCCACACACCCAGAATAGCCAAAGGGCACCTCAGCACACCCTGGGCTAGAACACAGGACCCCTGCAGAGCCACAGGCAGACTTACAGGATCTCATAGTTGCCCAGGACTTCCTTGGGGGGAGACTTGTTCCATTTGCAGTCAGGAATCTCACCGTTGGGGACCGCAATGTTGAGGGTGTCATTAATCAGGTTGTACTTGAGGATTCGATCGTTGGCGGTGCTGGAGGTGAGAGATGGGGATGCGTTAACCTACAAGAAGAGAAACACACGTCCTTCACTGTGGCGCCTTCTCCTCTGGAATGAGAGGTGCAGGAGCCAGCGTAGGCCATGCACTCCAGGCTCTTGTCATCACACCTGCCAAGCACCTCACACAGAAAGCTGTCGAGAGTTAGCTGTCAACCTGACAAGCCCTACAGCTGCGTGGTGACGAACTGCTTAGATCAGATTGGTCTGTGGGCACCTCTGGGAGGCATTTTCTTTTCCTTAGGCTTTTTTCTTTATGCATTGATTTATTTTTGTGTGATGCGTGTGCATTTGTGTGGGCACACACGTTACAGTGCATGTGTGGCGGTCAGTGGACCACCTGTGGGAGCTGGTGCTCCACTTCCACTATGGGGGTCCTGGAAATCAAACTCGGGTTGTCAGGCGAGTGCCCGAATGCCCACTGAGTCATTTTGTTGGCCCTGTGAAGCATTTTCTTCAGAATGCCTATCTATGTAGGAGAGCCCAGCACAGGGCAGGCAGTGCAATCCCTGGGCAGGTGGGCCTGGGCTGTGTAAGAAAGGCAGGGAAGGAAGCCAGCAATCAGCGTTCCTCCATGGTCTCCGCTCCAGTTCCTGCCTTGGCTTCCCTGGATGATAGACCATAGCCTGCAAGCCAAGTAAACCCTTTCCTCCCCAGAGCTGTGTGCTTCTTCTTTTTTTTTTTTTTTAAAGATTTTTTTATTTATGTTTTGTGTATGGGTGTTTTGCCTGGTATGTCTGAGCACCTCCTGTGTGCAGTGCCCATGGAGGTCAGAAGAGGGTGTTGGATGCCCTGGAACTGGAGTTCTAGACAGTTGTGAGCTGCCATGTAGATGCTGGGAATTGAACCTGGTCCTCTGGAGGAGCAGTCACTGCTCTAACCACTGAGCCACCTCTCCAGCCTCCTCCTAAGTTGCTTTTGATCAGTGCTTTGTTTTGGGTTTGTTTTCTTTGTTGTTGTTGTTGTTGTTTTGTTTTCCCTTTTCAAGATAGGGTTTCTTTGTGTAGCCTTGGCTGACCTGGGTTTAGCTCTGTAGACTAGGCTGGCCTCAGACACATAGAGAACTGCCAGTCTCTGCCTCCCTACAGATGGGATTAGAGGCGTGGGCCACCACCACCTGGCTTAATTGGTATTTTATTACAGAAGCATCCTGTGATCTGTTTTAGTGGTTGTTAGGAGAACTATAAATAGTAAAGAGAGGATCACATTGCCTATTAACTCAGCTCCAGGGGGTGTCTGATGCCCTCCTCTGGCCCCCACAGGCACCTGCATTCAAGTGCACATCATCGCCCACCACTGAACCCCCAACCCCTGAGACACACACAATTAAAAACGAAACAAATCTTTGAGAGAAATAATATCTACAATTAGGCTCTCAGTTCATCAAGAGAAATGGGACTTCCATTCAAGTTACTGTATGTAAGAGGCAGGAAGCCGCCCCCTCTAACCCCAGCCCCTGGAAGCCTGACATAGGAGGATCATGAGTTCGAAACCAGCTACACAAGACAGTGGTCTCAAAAGAAAAAAAAAGGAAGGGTTGGGGTAAGGAGGGAGGGAAATATTACAGCCCTCCCCCCCCCTTCCCGCTCCTACTCCGGCAGCACCGGCAGGTTCCCATCACGGAGGAATTTGCTCTAGATAACTTGATTACCACGAGCTGAGCGCCACACTGAGGCTGCCTTGACTTTCCCTGTAGGGGCCAAGCTCTTCTATTCACACTCACAAGAATCCTAGACTTCCTGGCTTGAAGTGCAACTAAAAGGCCTGAGCTGTAGTCTCCAAAGGGACTCGCTGAGAGGGCAGGTGTCCCAAGTGACACAGAGTGAGACCACACAGTGGGGGCTCCTGCATGCTTAGGGCATCTTCCCTCCTCATCCTTCTGGCAACTGTGGCCTCAGACAGAGGCACCAGTGCCTGGCTCTCTAAAAAGGCTGTGATAGTTCGTCTCTAGCAACCTGACGGGGTTTGCAGTCACCTAGGAGACACACCTCAGAGTAACTTTGGGGGTGTTTCCAGAGAGGTTTAACTTAGGAAGGAAGACCCACCCACCCTGAATGTGGGTGGCCCCGTCCCATGGACGGACCCTGGGCTGAAGGAAAAAGGAAACCAGTGATGCACCAAGCGTTCATCTCGCTCTGCTTCAACTCTGGGCATATGTGACCTCACACATCCTCCGCCATGCTTTCCCACCACGAGGTACTGCACGCTCCACCCATGTACCAAATAAAACTCCCCTGGATTTGATTGTTGAGTATGTGATCACAGTGTTAAGAGAAGTAACTGATACAGGGGTTTAGGCCAGGAAAAAAACCGGGCTGTGAGGCAGGATGTGTCCACCTCATCCGTTCTAGATGGGCCACCGTGACACCCTCTTCAACAGGGAGACAGAATCACTTCCAAATTATGCCTTCACGCCCACGAGAGAACAGGAAGAACGTCCCCTCTCCCATGGCACTGCTGGCCAAGGTGTCAGGGTGGTGGGTTACCTCAATCAGCCAGGGCTTCAGCTTGTCGTCGATGATGATGTCGTAGCCGTAGCATTCAAAGCAGTGCTTGTCATTGTTCATCACCGGCTGTGGGGTGAGCAACAGGTTATAAAACCACATCCTGCTGGGCCGTGGTGGCGCACGCCTTCAATCCCACCACTAGGGAGGCAGAGGCAGGTGGAGCTCTGTGAGTTCAAAGCCAGCCTGGTCTACATAATGAGTTCCAGGACAACCAGGGCTACACAAAGAAACCGTATCTCATAAAAAACAAAAATAGTAAACAAACAAACAAATAAATAAATAAAGTCATCCTCAGAGACCAAAGGGGTCCTCCCAAACTGCTGCTGACTTCTTGTCCTTTACACACGCACACACACACACACACACACACACACACGCACGCATACATACATGCATAAAAAACACTGTCTCATAAAACAAATAATAAATAAATATAAAGTCATTCTCACGAGACCAAAGGGATCTTCCTGCTGTCTTCCTGTCCTTCACACACACACACACACACACACACACACACACACACACACACACCAGGCTTCCTCTTATTCCTCTCAACCCTGTGCAACCAGGTTAAAAACCAGATTATAGACCTGTTTCCAAGTAAGCCTATTTCCTTTCAATTTCTAGATTTCCATTGTAATTTTTAATTCACTTAAATAAAGTTTCCATGTGTAGTAAACAAAGGAGCGGGGGCTGGAGAAATGGCTCAGAGCACTAACTGCTCTTCCAGAGAACCCTAGTTCAGTTCCTGGAACCCGTATCAGGCCGCTCACAACTGTCTGTAACTCCAGCTTCAGGGGAGCCAATGCTTCTGGCCTGTGGGCAGCCACGCTCACCCACATGCAGACACACACACGCACACACACACACACACACACACACCCCTACACATAATCAAACAAAACAAAAATCCTGCCTACTTCAAAATCTTGAGAACTGCCACCCAGTCAGAGAGTCAAAGAACAGACACTAGACTGCAGCAGGCTCGCGGAGGGCCAGGAGAAGCGCCCCTTCCGTGAGGTCAAAGTGCACAGGTGGCTCTTCTCAGGGAGGAAATGGGTGCCACCTGGGAATTCTGCAATCGTGGGGTCATATCACCATCCCATGTCCTCAGGTCCCACACAAGTGGGTGGGTCTGTCAGTGGCTAGGTCAGTAGCAGAGAGTGAGCTGAGGAACTCTGGGTCCTGCAAGAGACCTCAGCAGTGAGCTGGCTGCCTTCTCGTTCCTCCTGAGAGAGGGCATGGGAGACGAGGCCAAGGCGACTGGCTTTGGGTCAGGCGCCTTTTCCTCTGTTCTTAGCTCTGGGGTCAGAGCCCCCATTTGCTTGTGGGTTATACAGGGAAGCTAAGACACCTCAGAGACACCGTCTGTTATTATTGTGTGAATATGTAGCTATTATTCTTTTTTCCAAAGCTATTATTCTTTTTCACAACTATAAGGGGAAAGAATAAGAATAATAGCTTTGGAAACGGCCTGCTTTTTTGTTCCAAACCTCGGGTCTGTGATTTGTTGCTGGACTGCAGTTTTTAGGCAGGCGCGTTTCTATTTTTTCCCAGCACTCGGGAGGCAGAGGCAGGCAGATCTCTGTGAGTTCGAGACCAGCCTGGTCTACAGAGCTAGTTCCAGGACAGGCTCCCAAAGCCACAGAGAAATCCTGTCTCAAAAACAAAACAAAACAAAACAAAACAAAACTATAAGGGGGGGGCAGTTCCACAAGGGACAGCGGTCAATGAGAACAAGTACAAGCTATCAAATTTCTATCTCATGCTGCCTTTCACAGTCTTAAAGATACTTCTCATTATGCAAAAATATCAGTCATATCATATAGTTATTTTGGTATAAGTATGCTGCTGTTTAAAACTTACGTTTTCACAAACGGCTCTAGGTAGACAACCGAGTAAGTTCTCTGTCGTTTTTAATCAATAACTCAAGTAAAATTTTATCCTTCTCAAAGATCTCTGATGCAGTTTGACAGCTGAGAGGTTTTGCCAGTTTAAAAGAACAGCCTCACCAAACAAATTTCAGCAAACTACAAATACAAGTTATTAAGGTGTGTGCCTGCAAGTTATAAAGGTGTGAGGACAAGTACAAGCTATCAAATTTCTCTCTCACGCTGCCTTTCATAGTCTTAAAGATACTTTTTCATTATGCAAAATACCAGTCACAGTCATTCTAGCATAAATATGTTGCTGTTTAAAACTTATATTTTCACAAACTCAAAATTCTTGTGAGTCCAGGGAGCCAAATTAAAGAATCTACCTTGAACAGGTTTAGATACACCCTTCGCAATTCTCTGGTCCTAAAATTTTTCTTCCTAAACTTAACTTTGTCCTCTGTTCTGCCAACACCTTGCCAGGTCCAAAGAGGCACTGGACAGTTCTATACCACAAACTCTGGACAGGAGTAAACCAGATACCCCAGGATGTGACCAGCATCCGGCTTTCTCAGGTGCCCCCCCCCCAATAATACCCATAAATAAGCAGGAAGCAGTCTTGAGAACCCACCGTCCCAATTCCTTTAACCTGCTGTGCCTAACCTTCCACCTTTTTATTATAAGAGAGATGGGAATATTATGATCTACTAGCCTGTCCTGTCACCTGGGTACCCTGCCCCTTTAAGAGACAAGTGCTGTCCACTCCCAACTTTCCCCTTCTACCAAGGCAAGGTCTCCCACCTCCTCCAGCCTGACTCTCTCTCAGTCTCTCTCCTGAAGAGGTAACTTCCTCCTCCTCCTCCTCCTCCTCCTCCTCCTCCTCCTCCTCCTCCTCCTCTTCTTCTTCTTCTTCTTCTTCTTCTTCTTCTTCTTCTTCCCCCTTCTCCCCTCTGCATGATGTTTCTGTCTGTCTCTCACCCCCTGTAGTCTCCCACCCACCAAGGTGACCCACCAAGGTCTCAGGGGACCACCACCCCTTGTGAGACTGGCTTTCTACCCTCACCCTTATAGCTTTAAAAAAGAATAACACCAGCCTTAAAGAGCCATGAAACAGCAACATCAAGCTGCCTGAAGAGAAGGCTGTGCTACAGATCCCCCCCCCCCCCCGGAGTATCAGCTCATGCCAATACCCACCAAGAAGGGCTGATGGTGGGTAGGCAGAGGCAGGCGATCTCTGTGAGCTCCAGACCACCCTGGTAACATTGTCCAGGCCAACCCTGGCTACACTGTGAGTCCAATCTTCCAAAAATGAACAAAGGAAGGAAAAAGATGATGTCAATGGGACTCTATACTTCTGCAGAGGCTTCAAGCTCTGTGCCCCTATCAGAGGCTGACCACGAGCAGAAACTGAGCCCAGTCCCTTCCCCAAACTGTTTCAGCCCCTGGCTGACATGTGGGCAGGCTGAGTGAACAGAAGCACTCCAGGCTACCGAATACTTCCTGAGGACCACTGCTTAGACCAGGGCCTCCCACTGAGCTTTCAGGGCCCCCTTGCCCTAACCCAACCTGTCACTCACTGCCACGGCCTTGAGAGACTGCACGATGATCCAGTGGATTTCGTCAAACAGCTTGCTGGTCACCTCTCTCCCTCGGGTGCTCTCCAGGTAGAGTCGCAGGTTGTTGACAGTCCACTTGCCACCGTGGATGTGATTGTAGTCATCCTGGTGAGGGAGGGAGGGAGGGAGGGAGGGAAGGAGGGAGGGAGGGAGGGAGGGAGGGCAAGTGACCTTGAGCAAACAGCCTGGAGTAATTCAGTCTGTAACTGAGCACCCCCTCGTTGTGAACAGCTACCCTGCAGCAAGGTGGAGGGGAATGTCTTTTGCTTCTGTCGTGCCTTTACGTGTTGATGCTACAATCTTTCCCTGGTATCTGGCATGGTGTGAGAGGATGTGGAGAGACCCCCCACTGCCTGTACAGTAGTGTGTTTATCTCACAGAAACATCCCACTTCACTGGGCATTTTTATCTGTGAATTGTCAGGAAGATGACCCACCCCTCAGCTGTACTGTCTAACTGACAGTTATGATGATCGCTTATACACACACAGTTTTGATGACCAATAATAAATGCAAAGATATGTTCCACAACTAAGGCTTATGAGTTCCACTTAAAGAGCTGTTTAAGTTAATCCCGTTAACGATTAAGATAAACAATTGACTTTCCTCAGGAGCCAGGCTGGCTCTAATTTTCTCAATGCTGAAAAGATGCAGCCGCAGGGTTTGGTGTGCACCATTAGCGACAACAAAGCTTTAAAGTAACTTTAGGTTAGACCAGATGCCTTGTTAATAGTTTTTAAGATAAACAACCCTAGAAGAATGATCTTAAATTTATAAGGGCTCAAGGCTGAGCTGTCTGATTTGGAGAGCTAGGGTTGAAAGCACAAAGTAGCCCGATTGCTGTGCACACTTTCCTTGCTAGGTCTGGTTGATAACCTAGGGCAATGATTAATTCTCTACACGGATTCCTGACCTCAGTTTTCTGTATGTACCCTGAAGACTCAAAGTTCAGCTGACTGTTTTTTATGTATAAAAATGTTGGGTCCTGGAATTGCACAGGTGACAGGGAACAGAGAACCGAGGTCTAGAGACAGAAACAAGTTTTGTTCAGCAACGCTGCGGCAAGAGAAGTTCCGGCCGGCCAGGGCTACAGAGACTAACTTGACTCTACAGCCCTGAAAAAGGGCTACAAGTTTCTTTTCATGGTCAAGAGTTACACACAGGGAGAATGTACATTTTGAGATTTAAAGCGCACAGTGTCACAGTTTCTTGGGAGTGCTGACTTGAGCTGATGCTGAAAGGTTTACGGTAGCTCTGGAATCTTGACCTGAGCCTGAACTAGAGGATTTATGACACCCCAAGTGTCTCTCTGTCAGAGACCGGGCACTCTCTGGGCACCTAGGGGAGATTACAGGGTGATGGTTCAAAGTGTCCACATAGTTGTGAATCAGTTTAAATTGCCTTTTCTCTGCCTGGGAGAACGCAGGGCAGAAGATCGAAGCAGCTAATACATTCTACATTGCAAGTACACAATTTTCTCATTTTCATGTGCTCTCCAGCAGTTTAGGTTTGTGGTTCCTTCAAAATTTCTTTTAAGATTACCTCTCAAGACAGATAATGAAGAGACTGAGTCCTTCTTTATAACTGCAATTTGCAGCCTGCCAGTGAAAGAGTTGATTAAGAAAACATGCTCCTTCCTTGCTCTGTGACAAGTTACTTAGCTATATTGCACGGGAGTTGTTGAGATGACTCTTTTTTTAATCTACAATCATTCTCCTGAAAAATCAATGTAACCCCTTTGCGACGCTTGCATTGCCTAAGAGACTTTTGTTGGCGTATATAAGATGTGGAGAAAGCGAGAACGAGAAGAATAAAGAGAGGAACCATCAAGAGAGTGTGAGTGTCTTTTTCCCCAACCCCCTCAGACAGAAAAGTCTCGGCTCATACCAACACCGTGGATTCCGTTGGAGCCCTGTGAAGCCCGGAGGCTGGTCCCCCAGGTTGCAGTACAGGACAACAACCAACAGAGGTTTATCAGGACATCACCCGTCTCAGATCAAGGTCCCTTTCTTTTACTGAAGGAGAAAAGGAGCCTACTGCATTAAGCCGACTTGCCCACGATCACAGAAGCAGAAAGGTGGGGCCTGAACCTATACTCTTGTTTCTCTAAGTAACCCCACCTCTACTCCAACCCTAAGCAGGCATTTGAATAATGTGTCTGGGACATTCATACCTGCTACTCTGGGTCCCTTCAATGTTGGGCCTCAGGCTACTGGGCTGTGAACGGCTCTCCTAGAGCTAGCAAGGTTCCCTCTTGCAAATGTAGGAGAACGAGTACCACAAAGCCAGCCTACCTCCTGACGCACAAGCAGGCACTCACCCCGTGCTTCTGGATGGCTACATTGGTAAGGTGGACGAACATGTTGTCCAGCTCGCTGGTGCTAGGGGTGTACTTCACTGTGCAGAATCGGCAGAAGCCAAGCTTGTACCTGGGAGGGAACTCAGACTGAGACACGGGACACGAGAAAGAAAATACCCCAGTCCACTAGATGGAGGAGTGGCTGTTAGCCTCCAGTGCTTTCCTTTTCACTATGTAGCCCAGGCTAATCTCACACTCATGACCTCCCCATCTCTACCTCCTGAGTGCTGGGATTTCAAGTGTGCACACCACACCCCACTTTCTTCAAATGTCCAAAAGAGTGGTGTTCTTATCTGTAAGATTTACAATACCTTCTAGGCCAACTGTTCTTAAACAAGAGCTACCCACATGATACCCACCCTGAACCAGGAACGGTGTGCCCCCCACATCCCTGAGTCAATAAGACTCAAGGTAGCACTAGGAAGTGAGCCCGACGGAAGAGGGGCCAGACTCTTACATGTAGCAGCGCAGTGGGCGGTATGTGGATACCAGGACATACAGACGCAGGTCAAACTTCCTCCCACCGATGAGTAATGGATTATTGATATAGAGGGAGATCACGTAGGCTTCTTTTGTGGACTGAGACACGAACCTGCACACGTCAGAGGAAGTCACAATCAGATTATAAAAGCTACAAGATTAAAGGCACAGTTTGTAAAGAAGAGGAGCGCCAGCTTGCTGACCACTGGGATGGTCTGCTTTCCTTTTTAATTAACTATTTAATGTGCACGGGTGTTTTGTCTGTCTGTATGTCTGTGTACCACATGCAGGCAGTACCCATGGACGGACTGAGGCTACAGTTGTGAGCCGCCATGTGGCTGGGCTCAGATCTGGGTCCTCTGGAAAAGCAGCCAGTGTTCTTAACAGCTGAGCATCTCTCGGCCCAGGTAGCTTCAATGATCAAATCCACCCAACCTAGGATCAGCTGGCAAGAGTCTCAATGAGGCACTCTCTACATTGGCTTGTGAGCATGTCTGTGGGTCTTTCTTTCCCTGTGCACCATAAGCATGCCGTGCCCGTGGAGGTCAGAAGAGGTAACAGAGCCCCTTGACCTAGAGTTGCATTACATGCAACTGTATTACATGCAGTTGTTAGCAGCCGTGTTGGTTCTGGGAACCTAACCCAGGTCCTCCGCAAGAATAGCAAGGGCTCTTAACCCCTGAGTCATCCCTCCAGCCCTCTGTGGGGGACTGACTTGATTATGTGGGGGATTAAATTAATTACATGGGAAGGTGGTCTACTACGAGCAGCACCATTCCCTAGGCCAGAGGTCCCGAACTGCACGTGAAGAAAGCCATGGAGCACAAGTAAGTAAGCGGGCACGCATGTATTAATTTCTCTCCTCTCTTGACAGGGGATGCGATGTAAACAGATGCCCCACATTCCTGCCCCCCTTGATGTTCCTGCGATGGAAGGTAAACTGGAACTGAGAGCTAAAATGGATTAACTCCTCCTCCCGAGTTGCTTTTCGTCAGTGTATTTTATCACAACAACATAAATCAGAGACAGCCATTAAAACTAACAACCTGTATACAGCTGGGGGTGGTGATGCACTCCTTGGCATTCATCCAAAGGAGCTGAGGATCTGATCACACTCACACACACACACACACACACACACACACGCAGGCATGCACGCACACGCACATGCACACGCGCGCACACACATGCACACGCGCACACACGCATGCACACGCATGCACGCATGCAACGCACATGCACACGCACACCCCTGCAGAGTGATGCTGACAACAGCATCAGTCACAGCTGCCAGGACATGCCAGCCACCAAGGCCGCCTTCAGTAGGTGAGGGGTAAACTGTCAGGAAACAAGCTAGATGACATTCTGAAAAAGGGAAAACTAGTCAATCAGTAAGAAGAGCGACCATTGCCAGAGGATGGGCCAGAAAAACAGGGGGATAGGCTGGCAAGAGGGGGAGGGGAACAGAGGCTATCAGCCCAGTGAAATTGCTTTGTATGACCCTGCGGGGGGGGGGGGTAGCAACATCATCACCCGCTGTCCAGAGACACAGAATGACTAAGTGTGAGCCCTGACACATACGATAAACTGTGTGTGTGACTCTCTTGGGGTGGGATTTGAGGTGACAAGGGAACCATGGAGGATATCTCAGCTGGAAGTCATGGCGAGAGCCGCAAGGACAGCCCTCTGGGAACCCACCCAAGGAGGATCCTGAAGCGAGGTTAATCAGACTGAAACATTCCATACAAGAAGGGTCCTCTGCCACTCTGGGGACTACTGACGGGCACCTTCATGCCTGGGAAATTGTCATACAGTGTCCTACTGAGGCTTGCTCCAGGCTCTCAGGCACTGCCAAGCAGGTAAGGATCCTCACAGGCAGAAGAAAGCTGGTAAACCCAGGGACGAACTAGACTCCATCTGCTAACCAACCTGCTGCCCACTCAGGTGTCCCTAGCAGGACACTCCTACTCTCCCCCAGGCTTTACCCTGGTGACTCACTCCACCAGGACAGGTGACTTTACTGTTCTCAGTTCCCTCAGACACAGGACACAGGCTCAGAGGCATGGAGTGGACATGGGCCTCGCTATCACAACTGTGCCTGCCTCAACCAGCTTGGGAACCAAGTGGCCTGCAAGGCCAGTACCCAGGACCACATCCCCCCATGGCTTACCATGGGGAAACCTGTGGTTAACGACATGTCTTCAGCCACAGAACCCTGCTGGGGTGCCACAGAACAAGCACACAGCTAGAAAAGCAGGCAAGGGCTGCCCAGGCCGTGACTGAGGGGGCTACAGGATGGCAGGATGCGGCTAACCAGAAGCGTACATGCAGTTCGGGGTTTGTCAACTCACGAGGACGTCTTGCTGTCCCGGGACCACTTTTTGATCTGTGAGAGCTTGTTGATAAGGAAGATGCCCTTTCCCTGGGCTTTGCCGCAAGGCTTCATGATCCAGGTACTGGATGGGCTCTTCCGGAATTCCTCCACAAACAGGTTGTAGTCCGCAGGGAGCATGTAGGTGACCGGGACAAAGTCTGAAGTAAAGACACCCATTGCCATAAGCAGATGGCCGCCTGAGGCCAGGGGCACGAAAACATCACTATGGTTCAGGGCTCCTCAGCACCCTGTTACCTCAGCCCTGAACCTACACGACAGGACAGCTGCTGTCCTGTTCCTGTGTATACCAGGAAGGGACCCTGATGAGCTGTGTGCACAGAACTTTCAGACACACAACACCAAAACCCCCAGTAAGCTGTCCACTAGACAGCTACCATTCCCACTTAGCAGATGGGGAAACAGGCCAGAGAACTTGGTGATCAAATTCTGCCTAGGGCCTGGAAAGATGGCTCAGAAATTAAGAACACTGGCTATTCTTGCAGAGGATCTGGGTTCTATTCCCAGCATCCAAACAGTGGCTCACAACCATCTGTGACTCCAGTTCCAGGTGATCTAGTGCCCTCTTCTGGTCTCCTTGGGCACTGCACACAGGTGATACACATACAGGTGGACAAAACACCCACATACAGAAAATAAAAAGAAGCCGGGCGGTGGTGGTGCACGCCTTTAATCCCAGCACTCCGGAGGCAGAGGCAGGCGGATCTCTGTGAGTTCGAGACCAGCCTGGTCTACCAAGAGCTAGTTCCAGGACAGGCTCCAAAGCCACAGAGAAACTCTGTCTCAAAAAACCAAAAATAAATAGATAAATAAATAAACAAATAAATAAATAAATAAATAAATAATAAAAAGAAGTAAAATCTCAAAAAAACATTGTTTTCATCCTGCTCTGGTGTGGGATCCTGAACTACCAAGCAGCTAGCTTTGATCCCTAGGTAGACCAGGAACACACGCCATCCCGAGTGTGGCTCAAGGGAGTAGTGGCACTGGGCACACCCTTGTCCATACTAAGTTTCTCTCTCAGTAACTCTGTGATCACAGAAACTCAAGCATCCAAAGCAAACTGGGTCCCGCCCATCCTGGAGACACACCAGAGGTAAAACAGATGTCTATAGAACCTGCCCCAACCCACGCCCCTGGCAAAGCTGCCACCAGTGCCTCAGGGCCTTGTGGTCCTGAAATGATTAACTCAGCCTGCTGGTTAGGTTTTGTCAACTTGATACAAACCTAGACATATCTGAGGAGAGGACATCTTTTTTTTGTTTTGTTTTTAATATATTTATTTTTCTTTTATGTACATTGGCATTTTGCTTGCATGTATGAGTGTCAGATCATGGAGTTACAGACAGTAGTGAGCTGCCATGTGGGTGTTGGGAATTGAATCTGGGTTCTCTGGAAGAGCAGTCAGTGCTCTTAACTGCTGAGCTGTCTCTCTAGTTCTGGAAGAGAAAATCTTTTTGCTCTTTGTTTTTCTCTGTGTAGCCCTGGCTATCCTGAAACTAGCTTTGTAGACCAAGGTGTCCTGGAACTCAGAGAGCCACTTGCCTCTGCCTCCCGAGTGCTGGGATTAAAGGTGTGCACCACCACCACCCCTGCGGGAAGAGAAAATCTTAAGAAAAAGCTTTCATTAGATTAAGCTATAGGCAAGTGGGGGGGGTTATTTTCTTGATTAATGACAGATGTGGGAGGGCCCAGCCCTCCATAGGCAGCGTCATCCCTGGACAGGTGGTCCTGGATCATATAAGAAAGCTGAGCAAGCCATGGGAAGCAAACCCATGTGGTGCTTCTTCGTGGTCTCCACTTCAGATCCCACCTTGTGTTCCTGACTTCCCTCAACACATGCTCTGTGACCCGAGAGTTGTAAAGTGAAGTAACCCTTGCCTCCCTAAGATGCTTCCGGTCAGGATGTCTTTCTTTTTTAATATTTATTTATTAATTTTTAATTGTATGGGTGTATATGTGTGTGTATGTGTGTGTGTGTATATGTGTGTGTTGGGGGCTATGCATATGGGTACAGGTGTTTCAGGAGGCCAGAGGTGTCAGATTCCCTGAAGCTGGAGTTACAGGCACTTGTGAGCCACCATGTGGGTGCTGGGAACTGAACTCAGATCCTCTGGAAAAGCAGTACATGCTCTTAGCCACTGAGTCATCTCTCCAGCCCCTGGTCAAGATATCTACCACAGAAACAGAAACAGAAACGCTCACTAAGACACTCAGCGACTGACTTAGGACCCAGGGCAAATGGGAAGGCACCAACCCAGGTAGAGGTATTTCCCATTCTCGTCTTTTTCTGCCAGAGGACTTCCTTCCTTCTCCAGTTCCTTCCTGTATCTTTTAATGTTCTTCACCATCAGGTCCTTGCGGGTCAGTTCATAGTGGTTGGGGAAATGGTTGACGATCTGGTCATCTGAGAGCCGGTACCCAGTTTCCACGCTGAACACATTGCGAATGGTTTGCACACTCATCCTGAAACAGAGGTCAAAAGGGACAGGAGCTCAGAGCCGTGTCACCCACATGTGTGCTGGTTCACAACCCTGCCCATCTCCAGGGAGCATGTAGGTGACCGGGACAAAGTCTGAAGTAAAGATACCCATTCCCATAAGCAGATGCCTGCCTGGGGAGCCAGAAGCACGAAAACATCCCTATGGTTCAGGGCTCCTCAACACCCTGTCACCTCAGCCCGTGACTGCAGCCCGGACTGCATACTCAGGGAGGGGCTGTTGCCAGGCTGAAGGACAGGGTGACTTTGACTCTGTGCTTTACATGTGCATCAGGCCCCACGTGAAGCCCACTCGCTGCTCAATGGTTGATGCCAGGCTCGTGGCTGTGCATGCTGTGTGCTCGGACGTCAGAAGAGGCACTGGATCCCCTGGAACTGGAGTTCCAGGCACTTGTGAGCTGCCGTGTGGTGCTGGGAATCAAGCCCACGTCCTCTGGAAGCTTGCCACAAGTTCCCTCTGTGGATTCTGTCCTCCTCGACACTGTCCCACCCCACAGAGCAAGGCCACTGGCACTGTAGGTCTAATGAATGGCCTCAGTGGGCACCTGCCAACCCAGCTTCAAGTTCAGCTTAGCCTCTCCCAGAGCTCAGCGGGTGGAGTGCTCGCCTAGTGTCTCAGTCACTCTCTTGTTTCTGTAACAAAACACTCTGACCAAGGCAACTTAGAAAACAGAGGTTTGCTTTTATTTGGTTTTTGGTTTTTTGAGACAGGTTTTCTTTGTGTAAATAGTCCTGGATGTCCTGGAGCTCACTCTGTAGACCAGGCTAGCCTCAAACTCACTGAGATCTGCCGGCCTCTACCACCTGAGTGCTGGGATTAAAGGCGTGTGCCACTACCACGCTGCTAAAACAGAGTATTTAATTTGGGGCCCACAGTCCTGGAGGGTTAGAGTCCATGGTCATCATGGTGGAAAACTCTGCACCAGGCAGGTAGGCACGGCACTGGAGCAGGGGCTGAGGGCTTACATCTGAACCACAAGCATGGGGCAGACACAGAGACAGAGACATAACGGGACAGAGAGAGAGAGAGAGAGAGAGAGAGAGAGAGAGAGAGAGAGAGAGAGAGAGAGAGAGAGAACTGGGCTCTGGGTTTTGCCATGTCACCCAAAGAGGACAAAAATAAAGATGCCATATAGTTAGCCGAGAGAAAACAAAGACCCAGCAGGCACAACATCTGAGAGAAAAGGTCTCAATGAAATGGTCCAAAGAGTAGGCCAAGCCCAACACCTGATCCTACTGGATGAAACTGCAGGTGAGAAACCCCGGAGGAAGCTCCCAGCTACAAGCTTCTCACATCAGCACGGTCCCTGAGAGACTGATATGTCATCTGTCCCTGGCCCGGCCAGTGCCTCAGAAGCTCCTTAGAGAACTGGTTCTGAACACCAAGCTCAGGTTATTTCCACAGAAACACAGAAGGTGGAAATGCCTTAACAGGCTCAACTGGCTATACATTTGGAAAACTCAGACTTATTAATAAAAAAAAGAAAAGAAAAATACAAAACACAGCTCTTTACTCTCTCTCACCAGTAAAAATTCCAATCTTCATTCTCTGTCACTTGGACCCATCCTCTCTTCTCAAAGTTGTTGATTAGCACCGACTTCTCGATGTCGGTGACCCACTTCACCCGTCCTGCCATGATCCTGGAAGAGAGACCCAAAGTGTCACATTTGTAAATTTCAACAGTGATCAACTTTCCCCCAAACCAAAGGAATCCCCTAAGCACCATGCAAAGTAAACATACACCCCCCCACCCCCAAAGCTCACACGGGTGTTTCTTAGACAGGGCTAATCCAGTCCCAGGGACTCCTGGTGATATCTAGGGACATCCTGGTCACCATAAATGGGAAAGGAGGAGATATTTTGGGCATCACGTATGGGGGTTGGGGATACTGGTCAACATCCCACAGGCAGACAGGCTTCCATTCCTCCATAAAGCCCCGAGCCCCCATGTCAACCAGGGATAATTTAATAGTGACTCTCAAGCACCCAATGCACCTGTGTTGGGAACCACAGGAGAGGCTTGAAGGGCTACAAGGGTGGGGGTGGGGGGCTCTGATCGGAGCAGGTGAGGAAGACTGTTCTGGGAAGTGGGCTGCTGAGCTCAACCCCGATCCCCAATGAAGTAGCAAGGGTTTGCGCATCTACCCTGCTCTGGGCGTCCTCATGCCCTCTCCCACACTGCCTAGCTCCCTGCCTCTCTTTTCTCACATCTATTCTAACCATGCTCTTAAAACAAAACAAAACAAAACAAAACAAAACAAAACAAAACAGGGAACTGGAGAGACGGCTCAGTGATTAATACCAGCTGCCCTTCCAGAGGACCTGAGTTCAATTCCCAGCAGCCGCATGGTGGCTCACATGAAATCTGGTGCCTTTTTCTGGCCTGCAGACATACATGCAAAGCACTCATATACATAAATAAAAATTAAAAAACCAAGAACACTTTTGCCAGGTATTGCTGGCACCTGGCATGCCTTTAACGCCAGCACTCAGGAGGCAGAGGAAGGCAAATCTCTGTGAGTTTAAGGCCAGCCTGGTCTACAAGTTGAGTTCCAGGACAGAGAGAGATACACAGAGAGACCCTGTCCCCCCAAAAAATTAAAAAAAAGCAAAATAAACAAAAACATTGTTTTGAGATTTTATTTTTATTTTATGTACATGAACATGGCCACTCACAGAACACCAGGAGGTTGTAGATGTGACATACACCTTCACCCTCATCCTGTGGGGCAGGAAGCAAGCCTGAGCCTTGAGAGGCCAGAGCTTCAGGGAGACCAGCCAGGGCTCTTCCCAGACATCTTATCCCACATTCTCTGTTCCCAGTGTTAGTACTCACCATAGGTCCTTCTGCAGCTCCTCGAGTGCTCAGAATCTCTCCGCTTCACTGACAAAAACACAGGGGACACAGAACTGAGTTCATTATGGAGCAAAGCTTGACCACCCAAACAGATACCCAGGGGTGGCGTCTTGGCTAGCCAGTGTGCACAGAACAGGCTCTTAAACGATAAAGGCTTTGGAGTTGCCACCCATGGTGAGTCACATGTCATCCTAACACGTGGAGGGCAGAGGCAGGAAGACGCCATGCAAGTTTGGGGTTAGCCTGGTCTAAAGGTCAGGTCCAAGCCACTCAGGGTTATATAGGGAGACCCTGTCTCAAAAGAAAATACAGCCAGGCACCTTCAACCCCCAGGCTTGGAAGCAGAGAAAGGTGGATCACGAAGAGTTTGAGGCTGGCCTGGTCTACATATTGAATTCTAGGACAGCTGGGCTATACAGTGAGACTCTATCTAAAAAAAAGTAAACAGGGGCTGAGGATGTAACTCAGTTGGTGCAGCGATTGCTTAGCATTTTCAAAGCCTCAGGTTCTAGCTCCTGTACTGAGTATGATAGCGTCCACATGGAATCCCAGCACCGGGAGAGGAAGGTAGGAGCTCAAGGCCTGTTTCTGCTGTGAGACCTTGTCTCTCACGCGCAAACATAGTAAGTCTCAAAACCCTCTTCCCTTATGAAGAGCTTTGCTCAACTTACGTCCA